TATTTTTTCGATGGTGCATCTTTTGGATTAGTGACTTTTTTCATTGCCACAAGAGTCCACAAGACCAAACTGGTTTCACTTTTCGGAGGCCCAAGTCTTTAGGTTCTCTGCTGTCTTTGCCATTCCGACTGCATTCTAGTTCCGGCTTTTGGACAGCGAAACATCATCAGCAATCACCTCCCCCTCCTCCTCGACTGGCTGCCAATTTAAATGTTGATTTATTATCACGATACGATAGTGCTGCTTCTGGCCAGGGTCATGTGTGCTCTGTGCTCTGTGCTGCTCCTCTAACCAAACTTCACCTCTAATGAGTTTTGCCCTGCTGTTGGCTCTGAGGAAAACTTCTTGCATGTGGTGGGGCGTGGGGCCTGGGGCCTGGCGCCTGATCTCTATCTGCAAAGGTCCTTGAGTCCGCCCCCAAAAACAGGGCTGGTACGAACACGTTTCACAAATCACTGCTGGCTGCCGTTACTGACCTCGCAGCCGCTTTTGCTGGCTGGCCTCTGCCTCGAGCGCCGCAGTTTATGCGCCAAGTGCAGTAAGTCGTTAAATGAAGACCCACATGGCCGCAAGCAGCACGCGGCACGGGGCACGGGGCGCCGCCAACGTTTGTGGTCGTTTCCAGTTGCTCTGCCACGCCACCACCCACTTTGTGGGGCACTCGGCCGGACAACGCGTTCGGCCATTCTGGGCCACACACAGAAAGTGAATTCTATCCTCCTTTTGGCCAGGCTAGCGATGGTAGCGTGACTGCTGGTAATCCTGCCTTCGACCTCCTTTCCGCCCTTTTCAGTCAAGGTTTACGAGGGGTTAATGGGGGGAATGCGAGTGTCTATTGATTGGGTGATATATTGTGCGAAAACAGATCTAGAAACTGGTGAGGGAGGTGTTTCCTCCTCGAAAAACAACCTTTTATCTATCCCAATCCTGGTTCTTGGTTTCCTTCAAATATATGTGAATATTTCACTTCGATTTGTATCGATAACAAGCGATTATTGCCCGATTGTTGCGCCACCATCTCTGGATGGAACGCGAATGCCTGCAGGCAGCGTTTAGGCCAACAATTTGTTCAGCAATTTGTGTTTGGGGGAATTCAAGATGTTGTTGGATGGACGGACGGAGAGCTCCATCAATTTGCAACCTCATCGCGAGATCGTCGAACCCCCCTCCTACCCCTACCTCTCCTCCAGCAGAGACCCGCCCAACAAAGCGATATTTATTTTTTTTCTCCTTTTTTTTGCCATTGTGATTATTTTTGTGTGTTTTATTTCGTTTTTTATTCATATAATATTTTTGTCTATCAAAGAGTTTTTGTTGCCCACAATGTAGTCGTTTGTCACAGCTCTCTCTCTGTCTATCTCCTCCACTCCTCTCCATCATCCAACCACTTGACTGGGCGACTGGCGACTGGTTTCGGGGAGCCATTGACATTCATAGCACACTTTCAGAGCGGGGGCTCTGTCTGTCAAAATAAAGGAATTAATCTGTGATGACATAAATTCATTTGTTTATGGATAGCTCTCTTAGATCTGTTATCCGTTGAACAAATTCCTTGGCTTCCAAGCCCCTCCAAGGAGCTCCTATCGGAGGAGCTCGTTCTGCCCACACTTCCGTGCTCCGTACTCCCTGCTCCCTGCTCGTTTTCCATAGACTTCTCTTCGATACAAACCATAAATTTACATGGGTTTTCTTTCCTAATGCTTCTTGGGTCGTCATCCATCGTCATCCATCGTCATCGTCAACTTGTTGCGACCATATTTGGCCACAGATTCAAATGACCAAACGACCGTCTATCTGTCTGTCTATCTGTCTGTCTGTTGATCATTTTATCGACAATCAGTATTTATATCTTGTTTGGACCTGGTTTTGCTGTGGCTGTGGCTGTGGCTGGTGCCGTTCTGCTGTTCTAGAGGCACTAGGCAAGGCGCTGGCATTACTCATCCGCCCCGTGGCACGACCTTTGTTCGGCAATCGCGGGGTATAAGCGGGGAGGCTTTTATTGGCTAAATCGTATATAGAAATATGACTGTTGTGCCAGTCTTAAATTTAAATAATGCCGACTAAATCGAGCGTCGAGCGTCGGGCGTGATGTGGGCGGGGGTTCTCATTGATTTACAATCCACTCGTAATATGATGGCTGCTTGTGGAACGATAGTTTTCCTTTTGGGACTGCCGATTTCAAGCTATAAACAAGTTTTATTTGACCGCAGCCTTTGGTAGAATTGTTTCTATGGGTTTTCCGTAATAAGAAGTGCTTTGAAGTGCTGGAAGAACCTTCGGAATGCAATGAAAGCTATGCCATCCCCCCCATCCGATATTCCACCTGAGGGGCTAATGATTCTATCGTTTACCTTCGAATCGAGAAGCTATATAGAGACGGGTCGGGTCTATGGCTCATCCGATCCGAATCATGCAGGGAAACAAAAGCAAACTGGCACTGCGATTCCGTTGCACGTATCTGGCAGAACGTGCAATTATCGAGTTACAAATGCAATTGTTTTTTCTTTTGTTGTATTTTTTATGGCAGTGCAGTGGTTTCTTGTTGTTGTTGTTGTTGTTTATGTTGGCAGCCGGCTGTTCTCTTTACATGCTATAATCGTGCAATAGGCCATAAATTACATAACTGCCGTACGTTTATCTGCTGGATACACCCGTAGAAACGGCAACCGTTTTGTTTCTTGCGACGATATCGTATGGGAGGGGGTCTCTGGCGATCTCTGGCGATCTCTGGTCTCTGATCTCTGGTCTCTGATCTCTGGCCTTTGTGTGCCTCAGACCTGTGGCACGGCACGAGCAGATAATGTCTTTGTTGAGGCCCAAGAAAATCGCTGCTATCGTATCGTATCGGATATCATCTAGCAAAATCGATCGATCGATCTTCGCCTTGTCCGCTTTTTCCTACTGATTTATACGTTGGCAGGTCTTATTTCTTTGTCTCTGAGACAGACACGATTTGCATGATCGACCACTCGGAAAGTGGTCGTTGTAGAACTTATTAACTTTTCATGTTCTGCGATTTGTTGTGCCGCTCGCCTTTGTATGCAAATTCAATCGAATAATATTATTACAATACTGATAAATAATCAACATAATGTGCCCGGTATATGGGAGCTTGGTGGGGCTTTTCTCCTCCATCAACTGTCGGAAAACCTTCTCAGCGTCTCGCTGAACTGAGCCAATATTTGTCCAGTGGCAACACCACACCATACCTTATGAAATGTTTATTATTTACGCGTAAATTCGCTGAAATTTCAGCTCCAGTCGGAACTGCTCCTCGGCTATCAAACTGTGCAAACAGAGACGTCTCCATGAGGTTCCTTTTGTTTTCTTTGGGTGCTGTGGCCTGTGGGCTGTCGCTATGCCCTCCAGCATAGCATATATTCTCACTTCCCAGGTATTCGATTTCAAACAGAATGAAGCGCCAGCCAGCCAGCCGGCTGTGGAGTGGAGTGGAGTGGAGGGGCATGCACTTGCTTCCGAGATGACAAATTGGAATTGAAATTCTATATGTTTGCCTTTGGGGGGGGGGCCCGAGGAAGTGGGCGGCGAGGGTCAAGCACTGCCTGACTTTTGCTATTGTCTGCTGCGGTTTGTGGGTGGCTGGGGGCCAATGATGAGCTGCTGGTGGGTGGTGGGTGGCTGGGGGCTGGGGGCTGGTGGCGGCTTGCATTGACGTCAACCCTCGCCCGAGCCGTACTCAAATGAACATCAATTGTTCACTCAGACATAGCCATAGACAAAAGTGGTAATCGACTCCAGATTGGCTTGGAATTCAGCTTTGGATTCCTCTCATGGGCTTCAAGCCTTTGTTTGATCGGGCAATCGATAATCGATTAAATCGAATGCCTGTCTGTGGTGATGGAGGATCCAAAGTTTGGAATATTCGATCAAGAATCAGCCCTGGCAGAGGCCTTGAGCCCTTGGGCCATAAATAATAAGGTTCTTGGTTTAAAAGTAAAAAAACAAAAGCAAAAGATACATTTATTACGAGAGATCTCAGAGCTGGCGATTTGTTCGAAAAACGTTTAAAAATATATGGGGTTGTATATTTCCCTGTCTATAAGGTAGCTGGCTAGACTCTTGCTTAGACTCTGGTGATTCAACCGATTATATCATTTATACCATATATTATATGTACGAAATGTGGTAAACCATTTCTCCACTCATCACAGAGTTGATTTGAAGGCTTCGGAAATACAGTGGAGTCCGGCTATAACGAGACTCAAGGCACCAACGATTTTTCGACGTTATAACCGAAAGACGCTCCAACCAACAGGAGCAAAAAATAGGTTGGAATAGGTTTTAAAAAAAAAACGAATTAATTTTTAATCAAGAAATCTTTTGTTTTTTTCATAAAAAGTCGTCTATGTACATGCATATTTCATAAGAATAATATAACAAGACTAAATTCTATATAGGGGGCTTTTTTTTCTCTTATTCTTAATATAAATAATCAGTAATTTTTGATTGTTTAAGCATTATTTAAACGAGACCTCTGGTCGTTAAAATTTGAATGGACAAATCTATTCACAATTTCTGCAGCCTGAAATGCCTCCTCACTTCCCTTTGATCTGCGACGTTGTCGTCGCGTCTTTTGTCCGTCCTCTAGTATATTTTGAAGAATGTTGTCTTCGGAAGGTTCCTCAAAAATCGCCACACCCTTGTCAATGAGAACATATTCAGCCAGCTCTTCCTTTTCCTTTTCCTTCATTTTTGTTTGGCATTATTTGGGTGTATTTTTTTTTCCGGCAAAATATCGAAAAATATCGTCGTTTTCAGATACGTTTTGTATGGGGACCGACCAGTCGTCATAGCCGGTCTCTACTGTAATTGCCTTCGCGGAAGAGTCATGAAAAACGAAGTGCATTTAAAGCTTTTGTTAAGTAAAACCTTTTTGTTTTTTTATGTAGATTTTGTAATTTCTGCCTGTTTAGACTTTTTTTGCAATTACTTATCCCCCCACCCCCCTCTCTCTCCCTCTCTGTCTCCCCCTTTTGCAGATTACTTGTGCAACAACGACAACAACGAAAAGCAGCGGGAAAAAGCCAACAATTGGCACATTTGGCGATAAATCAGCGAGCGAAATCGTCATCAAAACGCAACGCTGACAGCAACAAAGAAGAAGAAGAATACGAAGAAGAGGAAGAGGAAGAAGCAGAAATAACGGTGTGAACTTTAGCAGACGCTGCAGAAAGAAAGAAACAAGAGAGACTCGTAGGAAAGAGGGGAAAACGAAGACGAAGACGAATCCAACAAAAACGAACAACGAAGCAGAGCGAGAGAGGAAGAGAGAGAGAGCGGGAGAGAGAGAGGAGCAGCAAGGGTCCTGCTGCATATCGATTTTGCTATTCTGGAGACTATTTTTAGTGGCATCCTCGCAGTATCTTGGCGCGTATCTGCTTTGAGGCTTTGAGGCAGGTTGGCAGCCAGCAGCATGTGGCCATGTAGGCAGCCCTAGACACTGACAGCCACAGCAAAAAAACAACAAAGAAAGAGGGGAGCCCAAGCCCAAGCCCAGGCCCAAGCCCAAGACCAAGCCCAAGCCCAAGCCCTAGCCACTTGACAGCCACTTGGCATTCAGGCAGCAGCAGCGGCAGCGAACCATAACCAGGCAGACCGGAAAAGCGTCGATGAGTTGAGGCCTCGAACCCCATCCTCCACATCCTCTGGCCTCTCCACCGTCCCCTCGGCCTGCTCGCGTGGCTGCTTCGACTGGAACTGGAACTGAAACTGAAACTGGAACCCCGTCCACCGCCATCGTACCCTTGGCCAGAATGGACGCGGACGCGGACGCATCGCCCACATCCCCTGCGGCGGGTCCTGCTCTGGTATCGGGCAGGTCATTGGACCAGCAGGTGGACGCCTCGCCCAATCACTCGAACTACTCGAATCTCACGAACAACAGCAGCCCGAGCCCAAGTGGGAGCAGTGTCTGCAGTCCCTCCACCACCTCCTCCTCCTCGTCGGCGCCCCAGTACAGCGAGGATTTGCGAGCGGCAGTCGCTGCCGGGCGCCACAATCAGAATCCCATAACCAATCCCATTCCAAATCAGAATCAGAGCCAGAATCAGAGCCAGAGCCACAGTCACAGCGGATCGGCGGGCACAGGCGGCTCGTCGTCGGGCAAGACCTGCGAGGTGGATGTGGGCGAGGAGGAGCGCGACACCTTCTCGCCCGTGTCCAGTCCGGACTGCAACGGGGCGGCCTCGGCTCTGGGAGCAGAGGTTATTGCCTCCGGCAGCGAACCGGGCCTGGACAACAAGATCTTCGAAGGGGGCAGCGGCAGCAAGGCGAAACCGGCCTCCAAAGAGGAGAAGCAGCGCCAGAACGAGGAGATCGTGTGCATGGAGACCTCCACAGTATCGACAGAGACCGGCTCCTGGGAGTCGATGTATCCGGTGGCCGTAGAGCCCCCGCCAGCACCACCGTCGGCGCCGGAGGATGATGACACCATGGGCCCCGAGGCGGAGTCCAGTTCCGTGTTCAAGGGGATCAGCGCCAGTTGCCTGCTGCGGGATCTGGAGAAGCGCGAGCAGCCGCTGTCCACATCCGGGACGAGTGCCTGCTTCATAGACGCCTCCTCGCTGCGCGACGAAGATGAGGTGCTGTCCTTTCCCAGCCTGGACGGGCATGCCCAGGAAGAGGAGAACGAGCACGAGAACGAGAACGAAGAGGAGCACGGAGCGGAGGTCGAAGCAGGAGCCGACGGGCAGGAGGAGACCCTGGAGGCTTCGCCCACCCAGCAGCTGGAGCAGTTCCACAAGGCCTTTGCCAGGTGCAAAGGCTCGAGCACGGGCACGAGCCATGGCCATGGCCGCAGCAGCTCCAACGACGCCGACTCCTCCGACTCCTCGCTGAGCGTCAAAATGCGACGAGAGCAGGAGGAGCAGGAGCGCCCCATGGCCTCGTTGGGCGGCGGGGGGCCCTACAGCTTCCAGCACAATGCCCAGCACTTTAGTGTGCATCCGTTGGGGAGCAGCCCCAAGTTTGCGACCCACCACCACCACAGCAGCAGCCAGAACCACAACCAGAACCACAACCACAACAATGGGCAGCCCGATCTCAGCTACACGACGGACTATTCGTCCAGCAGCCCGGCTCCCAGTCTGGTCTGGTCGGAGCAGGGCAGAGCCGCGCATGCGCCGCACTCCTCGGCCTCCGCCTCGGCCTCAGCGTCGACCTCGACGCCACACAACTCGATGGTGCACATAGAGCCCGCCTCGGGGAGCAACAACAGCTCCATCCACAGAGACTACACCTTGTCGTCGTCCCTGTCGCATCACCGCGACTCGGGCGCCTACTGCAGCGATGCCACGGACTCGCCGCTGCCCCTGCCGCGCACCCCGAAGCGCTGCTCGAAGTTCGACGAGGCCAATCCGATAGTGTCGGGCGGGGCCTCCATCGAGGACTTCCGGCAGAAGCAGTGCGAGAGTCCCGGCATCAAGCGGCGCACCGACACCTGCCCGATCGTGTCGGGCGGCTTTGTGTCGCTGGACTTTGCCCCCACGCGTCCCCTGCAGGACGACGATGAGGAGGACGACGACGCCGACGACGCGGAGATCTCCGGCGTGGAGCTGCGCGTGAAATCGGGCGCCAGTGCGGGTCTCCAGAGGAAGCCGGCGCCCGGCATAGCCTCCTGGGTGGTGGACATGAGCGACTGTCGCCCGGAGCGCCGCCGGAGCACCAGCAGCACCACCTCCAGCTTCCGCGAGCGCTCCGACTCGAACAGCTCGCACAAGAGCGGCTGCGGCTTCTACGTCTCCCTCGACGACATGGACCGGAAGCCGTCGTCGGAGCAGCCACCGGCCAAGCCCCAGCCCCCGCCGCCGCCGTCGCAGCTCAGCAAATCCTACACGGCTCCCAAGTCCGCGGGCTTCTTCGTGAATCTCTCGCAGAACGAGGCCGAGCAGCAGGAGCCCGGCGTCCCGCTGGTAGCGGACGAAAAGGAGAAGCAGCAGCCGCCGCCGGAGCAGAAGAACATCTTCAGCATGTTCATTGACATTGGCGGCGAGCAGAAGACGCCCCGCGCCAACGGACGCAAGGAGCCCCTCAGTCTGGCCCAGCGTCTGTCCAGCTCGCTCAGCTCCTCATCGGCCGCCGTCCAGCGACGCGGGGAGCTCGGCGGGGACGTGATGAAGTCCAGTGCCAGTTCGACGGAGACTCTGATGGCCAAGAGCGCCACGCAGAAGGAGATGCTGCCAGCAGGAGAAAGCAAGTCCCTGGACTACAGATGCAATCTGGATCCCCCGCTCACGGTGGCCGCCCTGCGTCGCATCTCGCAGCAGCAGCGGCAGCAGCAGCAGCAGAGCGATCCCACGAAGCGGCACAGCTGGGGCAGCAACGGGAGCCCGGAGCAGCACGGAGGGGCACCGGGCAACGACTGCAAGCGGTCCATCAGCCTGACGGCCAACGGAGTGAACGGCAGCGACTCCTCCGGGGCGGGCCTGATGAGCATCATCGACAAGCTGCCCATCATCTCGAAGGCCTCCTCGCTGTCGGTGGACAGCTCCCTTTCGCCCTACGACGACTACAGCGGCGGCTCGAATGCGGGCGGGCTGAGCAGCTACTCCGACGAGGAGCAGCAGCAGCAGCAGATGGCGGGGGGCCGCCTCAAGAAGCGGCGCCGCGATGCGCAGCTCAACGAGACGTACGACAAGAGCAGCATGGCCTCCGTGACGGAGGGAGTGCTGTCCAAGGACATGTCGCCGGCCTCCAACACGGACACGGACGATCTCACCTTCCAGCAGGACGAGCAGCTGGCCCAGCAGCAGCAGGCCCTGGAGCAGCACCAGCAGCAGCAGCAGCAGCAGCAGCAGCTGATTCCGATCCAGTTGAGCAGCAGCTCCAATCGCACCAGCGTCATGGAAACGATCATCGAGGCCAAGGAGACGGCCTCGCCCAAGAAAACGGCCACCGGGTCGGTCCCGGTCCCGGTCTCGTCCTCCCTCACCAACGGCCATACCATGGAGTCCCTGCACGCCACCATCGAGAAGCAGAAGCAGCTCCTGGAGACGGTCAACGAGCACGGGGAGCAGCAGCAGCAGCAAAAGCTGCCGGCACCGGCACCCTCCGCCTTTGTGAAGCTCTCGGACATGGACAAGCCCGTGAAGCACGACCTCCAGTCGCCGGATTCGATGAGCAAGAGCGTCGGCAACAACCACCGCAGCAGCCACAGCTCCCAGCTGGGGCAGCGCCTGTACCGCGACGAGAACAAGGGACGTCCCCACTCCTGGGCCATGACCCGATCGACGGGCAACAGCTTGCAGAACTTCACCAACTCCGTGGACAACATCCGAAGCCTGTCGCGGCTGTTCCCCAACTTCTCCAAGGAGTTCTCCAACTCCCTGCCGAACGACATGACCCTGGAGCTGACGCAGGCCCAGGCGTTGGCCCAGGCGCAGGCGCAACAGCAGGTGGACTACATCCAGACCGATCTCAGCGCCGACTCCAGTCTGGCCTCCAGCTTCAGCAGATCGGGCATGGACGAGTCCTCCCTCAGCTGCCGGCAGCCGCGTCGCCTGGGCGAGGACCTGCTCAAGATGTTCCTGCAGGAGATCGCCACCGATATGCTGGTCGAAGTGCATGGCCGTCGCATCCGGGCCCACAAGTGCATCCTGCGCTCGAGATGCCAGTACTTTGCGGCCATGCTGGCCGGCCACGGATCCCAGAGCGTCGTCTCCCTGCAGGGCTACTCCTACGCGGCAGTGCACTTCGCCCTGTGCCACATCTATTCGGGGGCCTCCCATCCCCCGGACGGGATCAGCCTCATGGAGCTGGCCGCCCTGGCCGACCTGCTGGGCCTGGAGGGCCTCAAGGAGGTCACCTCGCACGCGCTCAAGACGAACTACTGCCACAACTTCCACAAGCCGTGCTCCGGCTGCATCGACGGCATCCTGCAGGTCCTGCCCGTGGCCCTCAACCATGCGCTCGACGATCTCTATCGCAAGTGCCTGCGCTGGACCTGTCGCCACTACCTCAAGGTGTGGCCCACGCGCCAGTTTGCCCAGCTCCCGCCCGACATACTGGGACGCTGCCGTCAGCAGATCATTGCCTACATGGTAAGATTCTATCCATTGCTTTCATTCTCACTTGAGGATTCATTTCCTGTGTTCTTTGACAGACCTCGGAGACGGTGCTGGACACGGTGCTCGACTGTGACCATCTGCTGGCGCAGCTCTCGGCCTACCGCTGGGGACACGTCTGCGAGCAGCTGGTGCGGGACATACTGGACGCGGCGCACGCCTATGTGGGCGACCACTTTGCCAGCCTGATTGCCAGCGACGCCTTCCTGTCGCTGGGCCACGACCGGAGTCGCCACATTCCCCATCTGGAGGCCCTGCTGCGGCAGGCCGCCTCGGAGCTGACGCCGGAGCAGGCGTGCCGTAGCTACCAGCGGGTGACGCGCCTGAATGCGGTGCTGCGAGCGAAGCTGCACAACGTGCCGGGGAATCTGAGCGAGCTGGTGCAGGAGCTGCACGGCCTGCAGGAGGAGGAGCAGCTCGACTGGAAGCCGGACTACGTGCGGCTGGTCTGTGCGCTGGTCTACACCGTCGAGCAGTGCCTGATCCGGCAGTGCTCGCGGGCGATGCGCGTGACCGCCTGGCAGCGCATGGACCTGGAGCTGCGCAAGAAGATCCAGGGCATGGCCCGACTCACGGAGCCGCTGGACATGAAGCGCCAGGGCGGCAAGGCGGTGGGCAAGGCCTTCTCCTTTGGCGGCAGCACCCGCAGCCAGGATCTGGTGCAGATAAAGCTGGCCATCCAGGCCCAATCGAAGCGGGCCCACGCCCAGGAGACGCACATGTACAAGGCCACCCAGACGCAGGAGGCGGGCGCCTCCAACCATGTCCAGACAGCGGACCGCGGCGTGCAGGCCAACCACGATCCCCGGGAGGGAGGCAGTAAGTCAATTCCCCCCCATCCCCTCTCGGCAGCCGCAGCGGACGAATCTAATTGTGCTCTCCCTTTCCCTTTCAGGCAAACTGCTCAAATCGAACTCGCGTGCCCACGTGCCACATCGCGCCGCCTCCCAGGTGGCCTCCGAGCGGAACAGCATCAATCTGCACCGACGCACGCAGTCCGAGGCGCCGCCAGTGACGCATCACAAGAAGGCGGCGGTGGCGGTGGTGGCGTCGGCGGCAGCAGCAGCCGAGGCCAAGGCAAAGCCAACGGCAGCCCCGCGATTGGGCGAAATACGACCCCGGTACTTGGAGCCGCGCAAGCCACGGGCACCGCTCGCCAATGGACCCGTGCGCAGTGCCACCAGCTCGAGCATACCCGCCACTGGGGGGGCCCGGAAGGCGCCGGCCAAGAATCTGCACATCTCCTCCAGCGACAGCTCGAGGAACTCGAGTCCGGCGGCAGCCCGGCGAGTGCAGAACGGAAACGGCGCACGTCTAGGCAACAAGTCGAGCAATCTCTCCATGGACAGCCTATCCTCACCGGCCAGACGGGCCAAGAGCAGCTCACGAGCCCCCACCAACGACAGATACTCATCCGATCAGAACGTCGACTCGCTGGCGGAGAGCATGAAGAGCTCCGTCATCACGAACAAAACGATCTCACACGAATCCCTCTCGGGCAGCTCGAAGCTGGCCCGCATCCAGCAGCTGAATGGCCACGCGGCGGGGGCCAAACAGGCGCCAGCCGGCGGCAAAGGCAGGCAGGCGAAGCCCCTCCAGCGCGGCCCCACGGTGGGCAACAAGTCGACGCGGCAGCTCAAGCAGCAGCATAATGGAATGGCCTCGAACGGGTCCAGTCCCAATTCGGTGCACACGACCAAGTCGGCCACCAGTCGCCTGTCCTCCGTCAGCAGTACGCTCTCCACCCGGGAGCTGTTCAAGCAGCGCTCCATTTCGGTGCCAGCAGGCGGCACAGATGGGGCACCGGGCAGCAAGGGACGTCCCAGCTTCCTATCGGCCAAGTCGCGCGAGATCCTGGCCAAGCGGGCGGAGAAGAACAAGCTCCAGCAGCAACAACAGCAACAGCAGCAGCAGCAACAGAAGCAAACGGAAAGTCTGGGAGATGAGCGCGGGTCGCATCATCTGCGCTCCTCCGCCGGCCCCCTACGCTCCTCCTCACATTCCGCTGTGGCCAGCATGCTGCAGCAGCACAATCTGCGCAACAGTCTGCCCTCCAATATACCCACACGACGTCCCAACACGCTGCAGCTGAAGAAGACCACCGCTGTCTCGAATGGCGTGGCCACCAAGGTGACCACCAACGGGATCAACGGCTCGTACAAGGCCGCCCAGGCGGTCAAGCAGAAGCTGGACCTGCTCATCGATGCTCAGATGGAGGAGGCGATGCCCATGCCCATGGAACGAGTCGAGTCGAAGCTCGAGCGCTCCAGCACCTTCTGCAAGGATAGCGCTGATCTGGATATCAGCGAACTACAGATTGTGGAGTAGAGCAAAACATGAAAACAGCTGGCAGCAGCAGAATGAGGTGAGCAGTGCCCAAATAATGCAAATAATGAAAGAAGAGCGCTAATCTTGTGCCCATCCGCTTCCAGGTCGTATCAAATATGGCCCCAGAGACGGCCCAGCCCAGCCCAGCCCGGCCCAGTCCAGTCCCCGCAGAACCGTACACACGTCCCATAAGGCAACACTAGTCAATAATCTAGCATGCGGCTGCAGTTGCAGTTGGAGAGCATGAAACCATTTAACCATAACAATAAATATTAACAAGAAGATGTTACTTCCTACTACCACAAGCGAAATAAGAGAGATCCAGCGGCGGAAACGAATACCCCACGGAAATCCGCAATACAATTACAACACGTGTTATCCAACTTAGAGCAGAAACAAAAGTTATTGCCCCCGTTTAAGCAGAACCCCCACTTCCACTTCCACTCCCTTACCCACTCCCCACTCCAGAAATATTAGTGCATTAGCTTATTACGATATGGAAACCGATGCGAGAGCCCTGGAGGGATTGTGTGCAGAGCAGAGCAGAGCAGAGATCGGATCGGATCGGATCAGATCAGATCAGGCAAACAAAAATGGAATAACAAATATTTGGTGATATTATTTAGAGTGCGCTTTACTCGTATGTTTATGTTAAATGCTAAACGAAAAGTGCTTTTTACTACCCCCCAGCCCGAAAAATGGAAAGTCTACTTAAAGTATGATCTAGCGAATGTGTGCACTGAAGGACACCCCTGCTCTCCCGCTCCCGCTCTACGCTCTATGCGCTTTGCAAGCTGCATTTAAAGTCTTCTACTCTCCTGCTTTATCCCGCCCAAAAGAAAAATAAAAATAAATATAATGTATACTCCCCATATACCACATAAAAAAAGAGAGAAAACTAAACGGAAACCATGTCTCTACTCCATAATTATTTAAGCTTGAATTCTTTTTTTTTTATACTGTTGTTTATTTAACTCGTACTCGTAATACTACTGGCGCATTACTTCAGCAAGGCAACCAAGGAAACGTCTTTTATATTATACATGTGTATTATTTGAATTCATAATAATAATTTATACATTTTAATTATTTGATATATTATAGTACTACTATATAATATGCGAACCGAAGTGAAACGAAGGATGAGTTTTGTAAGCATTGTAACGGCATTGATACATTGATATATTGATAATGAAGTGCAAGAGTAATAAATGTGTGTATTTATTAAAAGTTACAATATACTACAATTTCTTTGTCTTTCATTCGAACAGATTCTATATTACAACCAATATTTTAAGGTCCTTTTCCTACATCATATATATGTATAAGTATTTGTCTCTATGTCGTATATATATGGTATTCCCCCCCATTAGGGGCATGCATGCAGCAGCGTTTGCAGAAATTCGTTTTTCTCGAGGCTGGCAACGCCCCAGAGGTGTAACAGCTGATTGGGGCACGACGTCAGCGCGCGAGGGAGCAATGCAATTTGGTAGATTTGAACTAAACTCTAAGACTAATCTTAGTTCGGTGTTTCAGTCGGTGCCCCTAGGTCGGAGAGCTCTTCAATGAGAGCGCCCAATTGTTGAAAACGTTACGGCAGTGGATGACCACGCACTCGTTGCTGCAGTACTCATCCTCCCAGTCCGGATTGATGATCGCCGGCTTGTTGCACTGCTCCCGCGTGCACTTTGGCGCCTGGGCCGCCTCGGTGAGCAACTGAATTTGATCGGGAGGTTCTACGGTGGCTGTGGCCAACGGTGTCGTTTGTTCGTCGTTCATCGTTTGAATCGCCGGCACAGAAGCGACAGCATCTGGGATGCTGCTGCCAACCTCCGGAGTGATTTCAGTTTCCGACAACTGCTGGCGATAGTCGCGCATGTTGCGCAAAAAGTCGCGCTTCTCCTGCTCGTGCCGCTGGTTATACACGTTCTTCTGCGTCTCGTCCAGAGATTCCCACATGGTGTGGACGATGACGGATATTTGTTCGAGGGAGCATGCCGGATTCTGCTGTTTGATGGCCGTCACAGTGTCGCGGAAAAACAGTGCAAACGGTGCCAGAGGCTTTGACGGAGCTTGTGCCAGCACTTGCTGCTGCTGTGGCTGCTGCGGCTGCTGCTGCGACTGTTGTGGAACTGGCGACAGCTGTGGCAGCATCTGGTGTTGATTCTCGTGCTCGTGCTGCGTCATCATACTGTGCCCGCCACCGCCGCCATACGTGTCGCCATCCTCCTCGTCGTCGTCATTGAACGTGGAATGATCCAGGCTGAGCAGTCTCTGCGACTGCAACGAAAACAAAAGCATTGGCGTTGGGTTAATCATTTTATTAATGCTCAACCCCCAAGACGGCTCTCTCACTAGGAACTTCTTCATCTGAGGAGCAGAGAGACCCAATTTATAATCCAATCACAGACTGAACAACTAAACTAATGTACGATTCGCTCGCCCGCCGCCGCCGCCAAGCCCAGCTACATGTGCTTGTGCACCCACAGCGGGGAGAAGCGGAGGAGTATGTGGTAACGACGTTGCGTCGACCTGCCCTGCTTCTGCTGATTATGTGGTGTGTGTGCGTGCTGTTTGTTGATAAGAAGCTGACGCGTCGCGTCGCGTCGTTGCTGCTGCTGCTACGGCTGCTTTGTATCGATAACATAGCCTATGTTAGCTTTAGCGATTCCGTCCGTTCGGGTGGAGGGGCTCTGTGCATTGGTGTGTTCTGTGGGTTTGCTTGTGTGAGTGCTGGAGGAGTCGTCCAGCTGGTACCCAGCGAACGGCTAGACGTGCGGGTGCGATTGGGAGGTACGACTACAGTGGCAGCGCGACCCCAATGTGTGCGATTCCGATCTCTGCGCTTCGTTCATTATAAAACCATTAATGACATCGATGCTCATCAATTAGTGGAAGTACTCAGCTGTAAAAACTCTGTCTGTAAAGCCTGTGTGCAGCTATTAGTTCGTTCTGGGACCTGGGCGCTCGCTGTCTACTATTCTCTATTCTCTATTCCCGTGTTGCCTGTTCCAGCACCACTTACAGCATGGTTGGGGGGCTCCGTTGGCATGTCGAACATATCATCTCCGAACGAGGGCGCGTGGAATTGGTTCAATTGATTCATTGCAGCAGTTCCCAATCTTTTTATTTACAAATAATTTACAATAATTTTTGATTTTCTTCTAGAGCGAGGCTTTTTCAGTGTGACCGCGGATTTAACGATAAAATATACGGCCCGACCCTCAGAAATATACCGAAAGTACGTCACAGTTTAAAATATACCGTAAATATACTAACGGAGTATTAGTATTCATCTTCCCTCGTCTTCTTCGATTTTGATTTTCGCTCCAATATTACTAGCTAGCTAGGACCCTCAGCTCCAAACTCATAAGTTTATCCGATTGCTGAATCCATTTCGTACAAGACATGCTAATTTAAAGACTCACCTTTATTGAATTGTTTATAAAACCAGGTTTAAAAACAATATCCACTAAATTAAAATTCTTTTACATGGTAACTACACATTAACTGCATATTAACTAAATTTGTATGTAATTATCAAAGGCGACACCTGTTTGTTGACAAGTTTGTCCGTTTTCTTTTGTTTTTTTATGTAAGCCCAACTTGAGCGCCAGTGTGAAAAATCTCCGCTACATGCCTTTTTCCGACCTTTTAAAACCTTTAAACACCTTTAAAAAAGATTTTGATGGAAAGCGATCTGGATGTGGCTTGGTAATTGGCATTTTTAACACGATTTCTACATTGGTGCATCGGACAAGACAAGAGTCAAAGTATACAAGTTTGCAAGGTGTGGGAGCTAGACATGGGATATAAGCTGGCATTATAATATACGGTCTGACCCTCAGAAATATACCAGAACGTACCATCTCATTTTAAAAATATACCGTTAATATACCATAGAAAAAAGGGAACTTAGCTCCTTCCGTGGAGAATACTGCTGTATCCTTCCTCTTTTTTTAAAAACAAAATTTCCACGAGATCTTTTACCTGAACTGCTAAAAAATTCTTCTATTACTTCAACTTCGTGTTACATCCTTATGAAGTATGGCATACTTTATACCCTATACCCTATTTCCTTTAATTACTGTAAAATTTCCATAGCTCAAAGGTCTGTAGCTGGAATTTTCTATAATATATATTTCTCACCACTGCCCCGACCGCACGGAGAAGTCTCCTCGTCAGCGACGGGCGTCCTTGCTCTCGCGTAGCGACGAGGAGGATTGGTGCGATGGCTCCCAATTCGTCCAGCCCGCTGGCCTCGCCGTTGGTGTCACCGGCACCATCGGGACACGACTCGGTGTCGCTGACGGTGTCATCGGAGGAGAGCGCCGAGGATAGCGACGACGAGGTTCAATGTACGGACGGCCCGCGCGCACCAACCGCTGAAGAAATGGCCTGGTGGAGGCGGCAGCAAAGGGCGGAGCCGGGAACAAGGAATAAAAAGCCGCTGACCGTGCATGACAGAGTCGAGGCGGTGAAGCGGAAGTTCCAAGAGGCGACGCCGGATGAAAAGCGCCGGATCTACCGGGTGCTGAGGGCGGCGCAGGCGATCAGGCGTCGGAGGGATGAGCGGTTGGAGGCGCGGCGGCGACAGGCGGAAAGAGCCGCCAGTACGAAGGAGCCTGGCGAAGGGAGCGACGAAGCGCCGCCACCCCCACCATTCCGGGTGGTGCTGCCGCCGATGCAGCGCCGGACCGACGAGGCGGAGACCGAGGGGGCGCGGTCCCAGGAGGGACCTGCAGGAGTCACAGGCCGAAGAAGAAGTGCACCGGAGCAGCAGCAGCAGCACCAGCAGCAGCATCATCAGCAGCAGGGGCAGTGGCAACAGCATCAGCAGCAGGGGCAGTGGCAGCAGCAACAACAGTGGAGGGGACCCGAGGCGGCAGTGATGGGCCCTTATGTGTCGCAGGAGGTGCGGACCGCCGTGCGCCAGGGGATGGTGTGGCACCACCAGACCCTGCACATCACGTGGGCCTCGGGACCCGCCCCGTGCGAAGCCCAGCCAGAGGCAGGCGCCCGGGTGTGGGAGGAGACTCCACGCGGCAGCAACAGCAGGGACCCGCGGAGGAAGACCCCGGAATAAATCGAAATTAGATTAAAGAAGAGCAAGGTTTTATTCGTATTTATACTAGTACTTAGGGCTAGATATGACAATTTTACTTATCTACGGATCTCCACCACGCGCGGGCTCTCGTCGGGTGTGGCAGCGTTGAAGCTAATGATCGGGGCAATTTGGCCTCAGCTATTGCTTTGGCCCGCCACTCAAATCCGCGCTCCACGTCTTGCACTCCCCTCTTAGCTTCCGCCGGTATATGTGGATCACCTCTTAAGTTAGACTCACTCTGGGGGCAGGCGGGGCCTGTCTTCCTGTTGCTGTATTCACTTCACTGCACTTCTTCGAACCGTACCGGGTATCACTCTTACGTTTCGGCGGGGTTTAAATGTGCGCGCGCGATCACTCATCCACGAAAGATCCCGCTTCGTCGCCGCAGCCTCTTTTTATAACCCCGCCTTAACGGGACCCCGGTTCGGCGTCGGTAACTTTCCATCGCCGTCTCCTGGCTTCCACGACCTTCGTAACGGGACCTGGCCGGTGGCGTGATCCCATGCCCTTATTTGGTCATGCGTCGGACCACTGCCGGCCCGATCCCGCCGTCTCCTCTGCCTCTCGCGTGTCTTTCTCTCCGAGAGCGGGACACTTCTCCTCTCGGGGTCCTTGGCCTCTTCGCCGCATCCGGATATCCGCGGGTATCCGGACTGACCTTCGCCTTATCCGGCCAGCCATCAGCCTTTATCCGGCCGTTCCACAGCCTTATCCGGCTGTGCTTCGGTCTAATTCGGCCTGTGGGCCGAATATATATATAAATGGTTTTGACCTATAATTCATTCCTGTATATACACTCAGTCCGTGACATATTCCCGGTTTCTGTAAGAATAGCATACACTGAAACCTAGATTCATCCTGCTCCATTTAAGTGGAGGAGCGCCTTCAAAAGTGACTGCAGCCACCGTTGGTAGTTTCATAGCATTCAGCTTTAACAGTTTCATAGCAGCCGTGCTTACAGCTGGTGAACTGTTGTTGTAATTTTTAACAGGCCTCATAGAAGAACATGTGACGAACGAAAAGTACTGGTGATCCCGATTACAGAGCCATGCTAATTTAACAGCGAGCTAACAGCGAAAGCTAATGAGAGTGTGCTAGCAGCGAAAGAACAAATTCTGTAGTGTCGTTACAGAGTCATTTTCACTTAGCAGCGAGCGTAAGGTAACAGAGAAATAGCAAAGTGTCGTTACAGAGCCATGTAAATTTAGCAGAGAGCGTGAGCTAGCAGAGCTAACCAAATTCTTTGAGCGCTAACGCTGTTGCACTCTTACATACGCATACACTACCACCAACTTTTGGTCTCTTTCTGCAAGCTGAGCTTTGATTCGCCCACGCTGCTCTTCTCTCACCACCTTTCGTGACGTGACCTACACATACATACATACATAAGTATACGCTCTTGTTCGGCCAGCAACTTTGGCTCGTTCTTTGCTGGGAGAGGAAGAAGCTTTGAGCCGCCTACGCTGCTGCATTCTTATCACAGCTTTCTCAGTGCCCTCCGGCAGTCCCTCATTCAAGCGGTCATTAAAGTCGTGTTTGTAGTGGTGTGCCGCCGGCCTAATGCAACTCAAGTGAAAATACGCATAATAATTTTGTTCTTGTCGTTAGGCCACGAGGTCTTGAGATGTGTGTGCGTGTGTGATAAATAATTTGTTGAATATGTGGTTTTTTTTGTGTGTTTGTGTGTGGAAAACAACATTAAAACTTTACAACAAAAATAATATCAATGAAGCAAAAGCAACAACAACAACGTTCCAAAAGGAAACAGCAAATAATATTCCACGCTACAGCATTATAAAAACAGGTGAGTCTTTACTGTTTTTTTCGTATTTCATTTATATATTTTCTATAATTATAATAGATACAATTTTCTATAATAAATAATTAATTACCTATATACATATGTATGTATTAATATTTAACATTTTACATTTTCCTCATATGTATGTATGTATATGTTTTTGCTTTTGATCGGTCAGTTTTCACTGGTGTGATAGCTAGTTGTTTTCCAGGTAATAGCCAAAAAATTCATCTCATGCAATTCTTAAGAGTGAGAACATAACCTAGGTTTTATTCGCTATGCGTAGGCGGATGTACATACACACATACTTACATATATGTACATATACATATGTTGATCACATCGGCTTGGCTGTATCCTTATGCTGATGAGGTCGTTGTCCTATCCTTTCCTTGTTGGCCTCGGCCAGAAACAGAAACATTTGTCTGTGGGCAGCTTTGCTGATAATTTTACAATAATAATTGCCCTTTTTTGTATCAAAGAATGAACAGGGGGATGTAGAGGGCAAGGAAAAGTTTGCTCGTGTGTTTGGATTTCCTCGGAGTTGATAATTTTGGTTGAAGACGGATTGTCGATCGTTGATCTGGCGTTCCCGGAGGGTACTTTCAGCGGTTGAATTTGTGGTGGTAGATGCATGTGTAGTATTTTACAGATGCCCGACTATTCCCATCGATGGGAAAGCCTACGAACCTGAGCTACAGGAAGAAAGGCGGATTCCAGTCGTTTGCCAAATCTTTCTATACTGCTGAAAAGGTAAACTACAATTTTAATAATATTTCTATCAAAGAACTCGAAGTAAAAACCAAAGAATATCATTTCCGATGATGGCTTTATCCAAGGAAATCATTAGTTCCGTTTGGTCAGCACTACATAAAGTCAAATATTTCTATTCACTGATTTTATAATCAATCTAAATTCTTCTTTAGGTCTTGTATATCGAAATTTACAGTTTGATTTGAAATTTAAAAATGGCGCTCAGCGGCTTTCGGTTCTTGGCCAACTTCCAAAGATTTCAGCGGTTCAGCACGAAGGGTGGCAGCGGGCGGAGAGGCGACGAGGATGGTACATCGAAGGCCGGCCAAAGAGATGCAAGTGTGACGGCTGATATCGGTGCCACCAATGCCAAATACGTGGAGCATTTGTTCTCAAAATGGCTGGAGGACGAATCCTCCATTCATGTGGTAAGTGTTGCCGACAAGATACAAACCTCTCTCTCACCTAACCCTTGGTATCCCCCCCATCAGTCGTGGCAGAAATACTTTCGTGAAATGGTCAAGGGCAACTCTGAGGACCAGGTCCAGGGCAACACTGAAGACCCGGCCCAGGTGAACTCTGAGGACCCGGTCCCACTGGAACCTGACACTACTCCAAGCCCGGGGGCAATCAAGGATCTGGAAAAGGAAAAAACTGGTCGAGAAAGTGCGTATCATCCTTATTCTTATAAAACACTTGGCATCCCCTATTCCCATTGCACAATATCCTTCATCAACTGAGCCAATTGGTTCTAATTCAGACAATCCTGTAGGCTCACTCATGACTGAAAAGGATTCAGTCGGCTCATCTATACCCATGGACTATGTAGATCTTTTCCTTAAGCTGGAAAAGACCAAGGCCCCGCTCTCCATTGAAGTGCCAAGGCCTCAGGCGAAGTTGGATGGCGATGGGCCCACGACCACGGCCACGCCCACGTCATTGATTGATACAATTGACCCTCAGGGTGATATTTTAATAGGCACAACTGTTCTGAGTCCTTTCTTGGAGTCCAGCTCCAATAAGGACAATGATTGCACAACACCAAAGTCCCCAACGCGAGAACTTCTGGGCAAAATATCGAAAAATGTCAAGGCAAAGGCCGACAGGGCCAAGAAAATAATGCAAAGGTCGCAGAGGCTGCCCAAGACGCTGCCCAATAAGAATCCGAAAATGTTAAAGACACAGAAACTGGAAGATGCACCGAAAAACACGAAGAGAAGGCTCAACATATTTAAGATGCAAGTTTCCGACGACAAAAAGGAGGCCGGAACGGAGAAGACTCTCTCAAAGTCTTCCGAAAATAAACCGATTTATCTGTACAAAGTGGGCTCCAGTGGCTCAGTGGACTATTTCAGGCCCATAACAGACCGCAGGTCATTGCAACAAACAACCCAAGACTGTGCCAAGGAGAAAAGTCCCCTGCCGGGCGGAAAACAAAAGGCAAAAAAATACGGCACTCGATTGAACAGAAAGGCTCCCCCCAATCCCACGAACTTAGGGGCTTCAATGAGAATACAGAAAATCGTGTATAATGCGGCAGATAAGCCGGGATCGAAATCCTCGGAGAAGAAGTCACGTGGCCAGAAACGCGCAGACAAGCCTGGCCCCGGCGTTAAGTACCGACAATTGGCAAAAAGATCAAACTTTGGCCACAAAAATAGGTCCGAAAAGAGACGAGACCCTGAAGACAAGTCGCCGGAGGACAGTCCGAGGCGAGAAAAGACCAATGAACCGATCCTGCGTCCTTTGTCGACCAGGCCGAGCCCTGACCGTAGTACTTTTAATCCGAATAAGTTCTGAGAAAGCGAGGGAGGCAGCTGTCAATGACCGATGCCGGTGCCGATGCTAGAACCAATCCAGAGGAGTAGCCTGCGAGCCGAGGAAATTCGAACTCAGGAACCTCAGTCCTAGCTCTTGTCATCAAATATGAACAGTTAGTTTAGAACTCCAGCAAATAAACAAGATTGTGTTTCAAAATTCAAAAATTCTTTCAAAATTTCGGAGCTCGGATAATTTTCGCCCAAGACCATGAATCACTGGAGGCTCAGGAATACGATGCTGTTGAGATTTCCATTCAGGGTGCATGTTCCTCTGGACCGGAAATGGCTGAGACCTAGCTGCCCCGTCAGTCAGCTGAAGCTGAGCCATCGACAGCTGAAGACCGACAGCAGTTGCAATGCCCCGAAGGCCCCCGCCAAGAGCAAGGATTCGGACAGCTTGCTCAACGGAACTAATGCCATCTACATTGAGGAGCTGTACAGCAAATGGAAGGCCAATCCCAAGTCCGTTGACCCGGTAAGTGGGCTCTGAACAGACGGATGGGCGATGGTCCCACTGAATGGACTGTTCCTTTTCAGTCGTGGGATGCCTTCTTCAGCGGCAAGCCGCGCCTCGTGTCAACGAAACCCTCCGAAACGAGCAAGCGGAAGCATAGGCGTCCTCCGATGGAGTCGTCGTCGGCGAGAGTCAAATCTCGATCGGCGCTCTCGACCCGGGATATATCCACAACGAATCCGACCACGTCTGCCGCGGCGGCTGCCCCAGCCATGGACTGGAAGAACATCGATGACCATATGACGGTGCAGGCCATCATACGGGCCTATCAGACGCGCGGTCACTTGGCCGCCGATCTCGATCCGCTGGGCATTGTCCAGCCCCTCGGCACCACCTCTGTCGACGGCACCAAGCGGAATGCCACAGAAGCCGTGCTCCGCCAGCACTATTCATATGTGTTCAGTAAGTGAGGCGACGCAGATCCCCTTGCAGCCCCTAACCTCGAAGCCGTCCTTCTTTGCAGACGATCTCAACGCCGCTTTCAAGCTGCCATCGTCCACGCTGATTGGCGGCAACGAGCAGTTCCTGCCACTCAAGTAGGCTTCCCCTTCAGCAGCTCCAGCCACTCCACTCTCATTTCAATTGGCCTCCTTCCCCTCCCCCATAGAGAGATTCTGGACCGCTTGGAGCGCATTTACTGCGGCCACATTGGCGTGGAGTACATGCAGATCACGTCGCTGAACAAGACCAACTGGATACGAGAGCGCTTCGAGAAGCCTGGCGCCATCGAGTTCAGGCCCGACGAGAAGCGACTCATACTGGAGCGCCTGACGCGGTCTACCGGCTTTGAGAACTTTCTGGCCAAGAAGTTCACTTCAGAGAAGCGTTTCGGTCTCGAGGGGTGCGACATCATGATACCCATCCTCAAGGAGATAATCGATCGCTCCACCACTCTCGGCGTCGAGTCAGTAATGATAGGTTAGTCTTTCACTCGACTCTGTTCCCCTGAACTCTGCTCCTGACGCGTCCTGGTGGCGCTCTTTCACAGGAATGGCGCATCGGGGGCGACTGAATGTGCTGGCCAACATTTGCCGCAAGCCCATATCCGATATCCTGGGACAGTTCCATGGCCTGAAGGCAACCGACTCGGGCTCGGGCGACGTCAAGTACCATCTGGGCCTGTACATGGAGCGCTTGAACCGTGTGACCAACAAGAACGTGCGCATCACGGTGGTGGCTAATCCCTCGCACTTGGAGTACGTGAATCCGGTGGTGCTTGGCAAGGCCCGGGCCGAGATGTACCAGCGCGGGGATACCACGGGCTGCAAGGTGCTGCCCATAATCATTCACGGCGACGCCTCCTTTTGCGGGCAGGGCGTTGTCTACGAGTCCTTGCACTTGTCGGACCTGCCCAACTACACCACCCACGGCACCATACACGTCGTGAGCAACAACCAGGTGGGCTTCACCACGGATCCGCGCTTCTCGCGCTCCTCCCGCTACTGCACGGACGTGGCCCGTGTGGTGAACGCCCCCATCTTCCACGTCAACTCCGATGATCCCGAGGCGTGCATCCATTGTGCCCGCGTCAGCACCGACTATCGGGCCAAATTCCACAAGGACGTGGTCATTGATATTGTCGGCTACCGTCGCAACGGCCATAATGAGGCCGACGAGCCCATGTTCACCCAGCCGCTGATGTACCAGCGCATCAGGAAGCTCAAGACCTGCATGACCCTGTATTCGGAGAAGCTGATCAAGGAGGGTGTGGTAACTGCGGCCGACTACAAGGCCATGATAGAGAAGTACGACAAGATCTGCGAGGATGCGTGGCAGGAGTCCACGAAGCTGTCGACCATGAAGGTTTGATTGGCCTCCTCCTCCTGCGGTCGGAATATTCCGCCTAACAGCTCTTTGCCATTGCAGTACTCCTCCTGGATCGACTCTCCCTGGACGGCCTTCTTCCAGGGCCGCGACAGACTGAAAATGTGCCCCACGGGCGTCAGCCTGGACACCCTCAAGAACATTGGCGAGGTCTACTCGAGTCCGCCACCCAAGGAGCACAAGTTCGAGGTCCACAAGTAAGTCACCCTGCCAGTCCTGCCCTGCCCAAAGTCCATCCTTCTAGAGCCACTCATCGCGATCTCTTCCAGGGGTATCCTGCGTATTCTGGCGCTGAGGAGAAAGCTGGTCGAGTCCAAGCTGGCCGACTGGTCGCTGGGGGAGGCGTTTGCCTTTGGCACGCTGGTAAAGGACGGTATACACGTGCGTCTCTCTGGGCAAGATGTGGAGCGAGGCACGTTCTCGCATCGACACCATGTGTTGCACCACCAGACCCGCGACAAGGTGCGCTACAACTCCATAGAGCACCTGTACCCCGACCAGGCGGACTACTCGGTGTCCAACAGCTCCCTATCGGAGTGCGCGGTCCTGGGCTTCGAGCATGGCTACTCCATGGCCAACCCCAACTCGGTGGTGATCTGGGAGGGGCAGTTCGGGGACTTCTGCAACACCGCCCAGTGCATCATTGACACGTTCATCGCCAGCGGGGAGACCAAGTGGGTGCGGCAGTCCGGACTGGTGATGCTGCTGCCGCACAGCCTGGAGGGCATGGGCCCAGAGCACTCCTCTGGCCGCATCGAGCGCTTCCTGCAGATGAGCGACGACGATCCCGACGTCTTTCCGGACACCTGCGACTGTGACTTTGTGGCCCGCCAGCTGATGGATATCAACTGGATAGTGACCAATATCTCCACGCCGGCCAACATCTTCCACGCCCTGCGCCGCCAGGTGGCCATGGGCTTCCGGAAGCCCCTCATCAACTTCTCGCCGAAGTCCTTGCTCCGCCATCCGCTCGCCCGCAGTCCGTTCCGCGACTTCAACGAGTGCAGCGAGTTCAAGCGCGTCATCCCCGACAGCAAGACGGCCGAGAAGGCCGACTGCGTCACCAAGCTGGTCTTCTGCACTGGCAAGGTCTACTACGACCTTTTCAAGGAGCGCGAGGACCACGAGCAAGACGAAACGGTGGCTCTCGTTCGAATCGAACAGGTACCCTTGATCTAAATCATCTCTAGTGCATTTCCTCGGATACAGTGGTGTCTCCGTCTCCCCTTTACTTAGATCTGCCCCTTCCCGTACGATCTGATCATGAAGGAAATCGAACTGTACAAGTCAGCGGAGCTGATTTGGGTTCAGGAGGAGCACAAGAACCAGGGGTGCTGGTCCTACATACAGCCACGTTTCGACACGGCCCTGATCAAAAAGGAAAATGAAACGTGAGTCTGGAGATGATCTCATTGAAAGCACAGCATAGAACACAGACCCTGCGACACATAGAAATATCTCTCTCGCTCTCTCTCTCTCGAAATGGCAAGGTGCAATGTCAGGCCTTGGGCTACTGCTGCCCCACCGACTGGTGATTTAAATTCAGGTGCGATTATCGTTGACGCGCCTTCAAAGTGTCAATCGATTTCCCTCTCGCACGCCAGAGAGGGACGCCAACCAGAGATCCACAGATCCACAGATCGGATCCGATCCGATCCGATCGGTTCGGTTCAGTTGACACTTTCAAGATGGCGACGCACCGTCGCAGTGTGACGCCATCTGTGCCGCTTTCGAACCCTTGGTAGCACTGCTCTAACGCTAGCGCTGGCGCTGGCACTGGCGCATGCCAACACCAACACCAACAATTTGATGGTTTTCAGTCAATTGTTTCTCTGCTTCTGTTTGGGTAAATATCCTATAGGGGGCACACCGAATACACGTACCATTTATGTGTATTTATATACTTATATTCTACATAGATCAGCCATGTCCTTCCGTCTCTATCGGTCTATAAGGCATACTATTAAATTTAATTACAACATTAACATCGGAGAAATATCTGCCTTGGTAAGAACCGTATCTATACCCCGTAAAAGTCTTCTTAGTTTCGCCTGCAGAGGGTACCTTTATCGTCGACACTTGAAAGCAGATTTTCTCTTTTGTTTTTTTGTTTTCTTTGAACAAATCGTGTGCCAAGCAGATTCTTGAAGGTTGTTTGTTCTGCCCTAAAGATTTATAGGTGTGCGACCTGATCTTGTAAACTTGGGAGAATATATTGAGGTTCGCCAGAAAGATAGAGAGTGAATGAGGGGTTGACCTCGCTAGAGTTCACAGATCGCCCCCACAACAGGGTCGGGGCTGGGGCACGGGATGGGGCTGGGGGCTGTCTCTCTGATACAATTAATTGTGCAGCACGCCCGCCATGCGAAGGCTCCAATAATATGTTTCAATTTGCTTTTTGCGTTGTTAGTAATTGGCCCGGTCGATCCGTCCGTCCGTCCGTACGTCCGTACGTCCGTCCGGCCTTGCTGCCAGATTTGCACTTTGAACAAATCGCGGACAGCCGATGTCGATGTTGGATTTCGCATTGTATAAAACTAGCGCAAGGAACTTGGCACAGTTTTTGTCGACGGCGGCGTTTGATACTAAAGCACGTCCACTGCCCCTGGCCAGAGATAGATAGATACATACCGTGGTGTAGTGGCTGCTGGCGTTGTCTGTTGAATTAACGATTGGCATTTCTTATGCGAGATCTCCGAGATCTCCCAGTGAGGTGCTCTGCTCGCACAATCCACATAAAACTTAATGTGCCGACATATACATAAGTAGTAAAATTCTAGACGGATTTCGATTCCCATTCCGATTCCGATTCCGACACTGGTCCTGGTCCTGGTCTCCTAATAGCGCAAATGGCTCGCTAGATTTCTGCTCTGATTTATGGAAAAAAATACTGCCTCCCCGAATAAAATAAACATGTGGATATATGTACTACGTATATCCATATGATTTTATGTTTAAATATGTATCTTTCCGAGCAAAAGTACTTTTCTCTGCACTTGAAATCTTTGATGTCTCGGATGTTTTTGAGGCTTTCATGAGAATGTTTTCCTCCCAACCCAACCCATCCCATCCCAGCTATCTATCGCTCAAAATACGAGTCCGAGTAGTATGTTTGTATCGTATATGTACGTACATAAGTACTACTCGTACTTGGGTTGCCAGCCCGAATCGAAAAATTGAATGAAAAATCGTGCTGGGGCGCACACTGCGAAAGGCCTCAGGAATGTAGCATATTTGCAGGTCTATATCTATTATATACTACTCGTATGAGGCATACCCTCACCCTCCTCCCTACACTTACATATCTATGTATGTACATATATGAATGTACATATATGTACTATTTATGTGTGTTTATGGCTGGCTGGCATTTGCATGTTTTGTGAATTTCTTTGTTGTTTTTGTCAACGTAAATTAAAATCTCTTGTACAAAAGCCAGGCAATAATTATGAGAGATTTCTCTGTCGCAAATCGAAAAGCGAGAAATTCCGAAAGCGCCAAACGCCTTGACAATCAATTATGAGAAATGTCCGAGATCTTGAGGCAGAATGCTTAGCGCTTTCCCATCTGATTTCCCTTTTTGGGGATGCGAATGGGGCTGCGAATGGGGATGCAGGCCAATGCACAGTAAAATCCCGCCAAAGTTTTATTAATGGCACGCATCTTTGAGATCTTTCCGAGGGATATTCGGGGGATACATTCGAAGTGGACGCCCAAAGAGTGGGTGGGCAAGGCCCCTAGTATGTGTCAGTGTTTATTTCTTTTGCGAACTGAGATACATACATATGTTTATGGAATTTATTGCCCCCCCCCCTGGTGGACCGGGGGAACGAACAAATATTTGGTAGCGCCTTCGGGGTTCTGTTTTCTTTTTTCATTCATCGCGATATTTCCTCCAATCGAGATCTATAAATAGTCGGAAAAACAGCAACAGTGGGGGATGGATATTTGCGAGGGCCAGGGGAAGCATCAATCGCCAAAATGGAAACCATTTCAAATAAACAGATTCATAAAATTTTTATGAGTAATTGGATTTGGAAATAGTTGTGTTGTTGTTGTTTTTGTATTATTATGGATGATGATGATGATGATGATGATGGAGATAGCCAGGGGATGATGTAAATAGTTTGCTTTGCAACGCGCATTTCTGAAATATTTTTCGGCTTTATTTAACATTAAATTGGTTTGTTTGTTTATAATTACACATAAGTACTTAAAATGTAGACTCTCCAAAGCGTTAAACGAAAGGAAACATCGAAATCGACTAGAACTCCAGTTGGTGGCTCCATCAACTGATCCTGGAATAATTTACACTCAAATTTTGGCCTTCTACTACTCGTGGCTGCGACTATCTTTAGGTTAACTAACGCTAATCTATTTACAGGAAGATTACACATACGACTAGCTAGAGACGAAAGACTATAACATAATTGAATGTCGAGTTGAGATCCTTAAAAAATCCTTCCTTGAATGAAAACAATTTTTTAATTCTACTCAAAGGCAAGACGAGACGATGGGGGGCGGACACTGGGTCACTGGGACACAGGGACACTGGGAAACAGGGACACAGGGACACTCACAGTGGGACACTCACTCTACACCATATTCCATATGCTGTAGCTGGCCGCCCGTCGCTCCTCCTCGGCCACCTGCTCGTAGTCAATCTCCAGGTACTCCTTGTTGCCGAACCGCACCTTGCGGCCCGTGTACTTCTTGATGTAGCTGACGTGGGCGGCCACCTCCTTGCCCTCGATCTCCAGCTTGTACGAGATGCCCGTAATCCTGTCGAGGACTCGTCCGCGCTTCCAGCGCACTTGCGTCTTGCGAAAGCGCTCCGCGTAGAGCACCAGATCCCCGATCTTGTATTCGCGCACGTGCAGGCAGGACTTTAGCGGCTTGACCGGCACTGGCTCCTGCTCTTGCTCCGGCTGCTGCTTGTCGTCCTCGTCGTCGGTCACATAGGCAATGGCCTTCTCGATGGTCTCGATCTCGGGCTCTTTCGGCTCCTCCGGCTCCGGCTGGATGAAGAATGTGTCGCTGATGGAGAGGCGTCGCTTCTGCCGCTTGATGATCACTTTCTTTTTGATCTTGCGCGGCTTCTTTGGCGGGGGAGTGGGCGGCTCTGCCTCAAGCTCTGGCTCCGGCTCCGGCTCTGGCTCGGGCTCGATTTGGTTGATCTCCCCGCTTGGAGCTTCTCCTTCGGCCTTCACATTTTCCTGTTCCGGCAGGGCGACAGGCGCCGGCTCGAGTTGGCCCTGCTTGACCTGCTTCTTGGGCGGCGTTAGCTTGTTGATTCTCGAGGAGAGCTCGCTGATCTTGTTCTTGTCCCGGAGTATGTTGCTCAGCTTTCTGGTGTCCTGGGGCTCCTCTTTGTCCTTCTCCCGCGCTTTGTCTATGGAATTCTTGCGCACCAGCTTCTTGAGGTGCGGCGCAGACTTCTTCTTGATGACGGACAGGTGATCCGACTTGTCCTTATCCCCATCGTGCGGCTGCTCGACGGTCTCGATCTTCACGGGCTGCACCGGGCCCGCAAGTACTTTCAGCTCCGGCATGGTGGCAAGACTGTTGCCAGTATGCGCCTGTGCGTTGTCTTTTGTAGCTTCCCCGGATTGGCTCTGCTGTGGCTGCAGCTGCGGCTCTGGTTGTTGCTGTAACGATGACTCTTCGTGCGGCACTTCGCTCAATGTCGCTGCTATTTGTGGCGCTGACTGGTCGACGACGGAGGCGGCACTGGCGGCACTGGCGGCGCCTTCAATGTCAGCAGCGATGGCCACCTGTTGGGGCGTTGCTTCCACCTGCGTCTCGAAAGGAATGGCAATCTCCGGTACAACTGCCGACTGATTAATGGGTTCTTTGGACTCGCTTAATGAGCTGATAATTGCAGGCACTGTCGCTGCTGGGTCTGGGCTGGTCGTGGGTGGGGATGTGGCTGCGGATGCACTTGATGCCGGCACCACCAGCACCGTCTCGCCTACCAACTCCGCTAGTTTCAGGCTTGCGCGTCTGCCTCGTCCGCTGGCTGGCGCTTGATTGGCAATCGCAGGGGCAGCAGCCTCATCGATCTGCAATCGTTTTGGCTGGGCCTTTGCAGCTTCTGCTTCTGTTGCAGTGGCACTTGTCGCTGGTCTCGTCGCCGCTTCATCTCCTTGGCGGCTTTTGGCAGCCGACTTCGTTTCGCTTTTAGCTGCCACCGCATTGACCTCTGCCGTCGCCAATTGTTCACTTTTTGCTATAGCCAGGGGCTCTGGCTTGACCGCTGTCTCCTCGGCTATAGAGTCGGCCGTGCCCGTTGCCGTTGCCGTTGCCGTAGCCGTCTCCGCCTCCTTCTGATTGCCGGAAGTTAATGGCGCTGCTGCTGCTGCTGCAATGCTGCTCATTAATTTCTGCTTCTTCTTGCGCTTGACAATCGCCTCCGAGTCGGAGGGTCGCCTTTGTGCGATGAGTGCATCGATCTGCTCGACTGCCGGCTCGATCTTGATCTTGGATGGCTCCACCGCTGCAATTGAGGCGCGTCGGGGATTCACCTTTGCCTTTACCACGACTTTCTTTTTGACGGTCTTGACGGTCTTGACGCTCGCTGGCGCATCCAACTTGGCCGCTGGCTGCGTGGCTGACTCATTTGGCAGTGCGATTGCGGTTGGCGTTGGCTCTTCTGTTGGTTTGTGTGCGGGTTCCGCTGGTGTCAGAGTCTCCTCTGGGGTGGCGGACGCTCTGGGAGATTGCTTAGGTTCTTTCACGGACTTTGCCCTCAGTTCACTTTGCACTTTGGCCAGGAAGTCCATTTTGGCCTGGGCTTTGCTCTTCTCGGGCACTTTCGCCTTGGATGGCTCTCCATTGACAGGCGGTGGCTCCGAAGAGGCAGCTGAAGCTTTCAGGCCTTCATCTTGGGATTTGGTTGCGGGTTCCTCAGTTTTTGTTGGCTTGATCTCCGTTGAATTTTCTTGCCTTTCGGCGGTTTTTGGCTCATCCTTTTGCTCCTTGAGATCTGTGGCAGGTTTCGGTACATGATTCTCCCTGACGTCTTCTTTAGTGGCTTCCTTTTCCTGCTCCTGCTCCTCCTTCTCCTCCTCTGCCTCGTCAAAGTAGCTGCGACGTCGCACCTTGCTCACAAAACGGAATGTCACCGGAGGAGTACCTGCTGCTGTTCCTGCTGCTCCACTTTCGCTCTCAGCTGCTGGTTTGGGTGACGGTGACGCTGGTGGCCCCAGCCACTTCTCGCCGGCGGCCTCCGCCTCGCTCTCGGTGCTGTACTGCTTGAGAACGCCCTTGACCTCACTGAGCGCTCCCGATATGCGGGCCTTGAGCTTGTTCAGCCGCTCGATGACATCCTCGGGCTTCTCCTCCACCGAGTCCTGCGAGCGCATGCGCCGCTGTCGACGCAGACGCGTCCGCTCTGGCAGCACTGAGTCGGGGTCTATGGAGATGTCGTCGCGGCTGGCGGAGCTGCGCTTCAGCTGTTCACCCAGCAGGAGGGGTGTGATGGGGGCAGGCACTGCATCCACATTGCGTATACGACTGGTCGGCTGGTGGAAGCGACTTGTGGGCGGGGCTGCCAGTGTCGGGACTCCTGGTATTGGAGTGCTGCTCAGGGGGGTGCTGCTCAGGACGGTGGTGGGGAGACGTCTGCTTGGCAGTGTTGCAGTGGATGCAGTCTTCAGTTCGTACTTCATCTCGCTGCTGGCATTGACAGGGCTACCGCTGCTGTTGTTGCTGCTGCTGTTGCTGCTGTTGTTGTTGTTGTCATCCACCTCAGTGGGCTGATCGACTTGGTCGAGATAAACGTCGGCAACGACGATTGTTTCACTGTCCCGATCCTCGCTCACTTTGCTCACAGTCATGTCCGCACTCTGCTCCACTCCCACTCCCGCTTCTGGCTCTGCCTCTGTCTCTATCTCTGCCTCTGCCTCTGCCTGTGGCTCAGCTGCGCTCCAAAGGTTGCCCGTTGTGGTGGGTTCGCACAGGAACTCGATTGCGTCGGTCAGCAGATCAATCAGCTCAAAGTCGAGCTGCGGTGGCGCTGCGGTGCGGCTGGCGACGGCACCCTCTGCGAGGAAAGCGCGAACGGAACGCTTCAGTAGTTCTATATTTGGACGCGTTACTGTCTCTGGCCCGGCACTGGGACTGCGACTGCGACTGCCCAATGATCCGTGCTCCGATTGAACGTGACTGCTGGCGCCGTCGATTAGACGAATATGAGTCGGAATTCGGATCTGATTCGGATCGTCCACTTGCTTTGGCGACGTTTCGCGCGCGTCTGAGAGATCGACGGGCAGCTGCCGCCGCAGCCGCTGCTGCTGCTGCTGCCGCTGGTGGTTGCTGTGGCTGCTGGCGCTGGTGGAGGCAGCCGTCGCCTCATGCCCATTCGCATCTATTGTTTGCTCCCCGGCTAAACATATTGACTGCTGCTGCTGCCTCTGCCTCTGCCTCTGCTGTGGTGGCTGCTGCTCTTCATGTGCTAAATTGTTGCTCCCCTCTTTAGTCATATTTAGCTCATTATGATCTTCGGCCCGCCCATGCTCCATCTCCGCCTCCGCCTCCCCAAAGACCTTCTCTAATTTGCTTTGCTCGCATATTTCGTGTTTATTTTTGGGCACATCCACATCCATGGCGTAGTCGCCGTCGCCGTCGCCGTCGTTCTCGCTGTCGTTGTGGTCGTGGTCGTGTCGCTGGCCGAAGGCGTCATTAAAATTTTCCGCCTGTTGATGCTCGATTTCCTTCTGCTCGCCAACACCTTCGGCATCGGCATCGGCATCGGGCACGTTCAAGTTTAATGCTGCTGCTGCTGCTGCTGTCTCCCCCGGCCGACGCCCATGAGGTTCGAGTTCATTATCAAACACCTTATGTACATCATCATCATCATTTGTGGCGGTGGCAGCACCTTCTCCGCCTGTCCATTGCGGATCCGTGTCTATTTTGGGGATTGTGTCGCGGCTCATCTGCGTCATTGTTGTTGTTGGTGGTGGTGTGGGCACCACATCCGTTGGCCACGACAGCATCTTTATCCCACCGCTTGGATCTCCATGCCCCCCGCCGTTGCCGTTGCCGTCGCCCTGGCCATTGACCATCGTTCGATGATGATTGGGAAAGCTAACAAATCGTTTTTTAATTATGGGAAATTCTTGGGGCGCCTTCGCCGCGGGTGGCACCCGCACCTGCCCCCGTCGAGTCATCGCTGTGGTTGTGGTCATGGCTGCTTGCCGAATTGCAGAACTGGCATTCCTCTTCGGTATTTGGCCCAGTTCGGGAAAGGTGAGAGTGATCGAGGCGTCAGGCACCTGAGATCCGATGGGAAATCTCTTGAATTCCTCCGAAACGGGAAGGCTGGGAGGAGCCGTTCCCCGAGAGAGACGCAAGGGAAAGCGCCGCCGTTTCACCTGGTAAACATTTCTTTGCATGGGAAACTTTTGAGCGTCTGCTGGGTGCACATATTGTTTGTATATTCCTCTTGGTGGCGTGTTCTTTTTTGCATTTTGGTGGCACTGACACTGACGGCGCTGCTCTGACTGATTCGGTGGGAATCGCGAACGCGTGACCCATCGGCACAGCGGAAACTGCAGGCCAGCGCTTGGCACTTCCGGCGGCGGCCCCATTGGCGGCATGGATGACTCAGTCTTTTGATTTATGATGCCATCAACGAGCCTCGGAGAATTATTAGTAGCAGCTGCCACTGCCATGGCGGATGGCGGTTTCTCGGCCCCAAGGCTGCTGATCGATGACATTGCTGGCTGGGATGCGATGCCCTGTCCTGTTGACCTATTTTCCACGTGGCGCGGTCTCGTGCAACGCGGTCAACTCAAATCGATGCACGGCACTGCACTCAACACGTTGCAAGCGAAACTGTCGCAATGCAATCTTTCAACAGCACATAGAGCAGCCGAATCCGAATCCGATTCAGATTCCTATTTGGCAATCGCCAAATCAATGATCAGATCAGACAACAAACTGCGCGTATTCAATGCAGGCAAATTATGTGGCATATGCCTCTTAATCGAAGCATAGATGCTGTACAATATACATCCAAAAGATTTTGTATTGAGAAGGGAATTCCTGCCGGAAGGCAGGAAACACAGAATTCCAATTCTCGATGCTGATCATAATTCAAAATATCCCCCCCACGGTACACTGCAGGGTATGGGACAATGTTTATAAATCGTGTAAGAACAACATAACAATGGTCAAGAGAGGTGGCGCGCGTGTCTCTTCATTATATACTTGCCCACGGTATTCGGCTATATACATACATATATATGTATGTACCATATGCCAGGCGATTATATAGACTAAATAAATGTGTCGGCTTGCCAAATGGCTTGCTTTTTTGCAGGCCACAAAAAAGACCAGCACGAACCGAACGGGCTAGACGCTGAAGAGGACGAATAAAAATCAGCTCGCGTCGCCCAGCGCCAATGCTATTGTTTAAATAGACCTACCTCCCTATAGACTACATAGCAGGCACGCTGGGTAGGAGGAATATTCGGGTGTCGCGTCCGCTCTGCGACATTATCTTGCCAAATTGTGTGCCGGTTGCTGTGGGGCGAGCGAAACACAGCTTAGAGGGAGACGGCAGAGGCCGAGCGAAGCATAAATTAGAAAGAGAGAGTAGAGATCGAGAGAGACAGTAGAGAGCACACAACTTGAGACATAATGGGCGCCATGTAATGAACTCTTTAAACGCCCATCCACAGCCGCTGCATATCCTATATTGGACGCAAGCCCAACTCCGCTCCGGCCACGGGCAACAAAGTGCAGTTCAAAACAGAGTACAAGGCATTCATGACCGCCGTCTTTGGCGAGATGACCGAAGCGAACAAGCAGCGCATCGAGCGCATGGTCAAGGATCAGCAGGCGAAGGCTAAGGCTGCCACCAAAGCGGGAAAAGCCGAGTTGGATGCTGCCACAAAGAGATCGGAGCACTCCTTAAAACACGGAAAAGTGCCGAAACCGGGTAAGGGTGCACCATCGAAGGATGCTCCGCCGAAGGGTGCAGCCGGCAAGCCAGACGGAAAGCCCAAGGACCCAAAGAAGAAGTGAATCTCTGCTGTTGGGGCTTGCACAAACTTTTTGGTATAATACAAATTTAAAACCATTTTTTTTTTTCTAAGTATTATCAAAATACTGAAAGAATATATATACAAATTTATTTGCAATTTCTATAAAATAAGAGGGTGGAGGGCACTTAGCGGTACTTGGGTGTGCTGTTATTATTTCAAGAAGTTGGGGTTCTGATCCATTCGACGTTGAAAGTTTGCGTACCAGTTTTTCACCACGTAGAAAGGCACAAAGGACTCGGTCACGGCAGGCGGGATGTCTTGTGGGGAGACACAATAGCTGGAGACGTAATTGAAGAAGTTCTCCAGCATGCGCTGGCCGAATTGCTTATTATCGTTGGCGTTGGACTGCAACGGTAGATCCGTAGGTTAGTTATGGAGCTTACATTCACAATTCAATCAGTGGTGCTTACCACTGCAGGAGTTTGCTGCGCCACCGCCAGCTCCGGCTCTATGCTGATGCCGATCTGCGCTATGTGTGAGATCTCCTGGGTGCCAAAGACCATGCCGTTCGCCTGCGTCCCCAGCTCGTGGCCCTTCTTCAGCTGGGCTATCTTGAATATCGCCGAGGGTTTGTTGTTGCCTATGTGGCCCAAGTACTGCCAGGTTGGAGCCGCACACGCGTCTGGCCAACTGAAATATATGGCCGCCGAGGTGCCTATAGGTAGCGGAGTGGTGCCCGTCAAGAAGACGACTATGTAATTAACAGACTCGATGTCCGGCACATTTATGAGCAACTTGTTCTCAGCCACGGGCACAAAATCTGTCTGTGGCAGGCGTCCTGTGATTATCAAAGCAAACATTTTCCTTCAACCGGGAGGAATTTTCGAGAATGCACCACAAGCCGCTTGTGTCCAGCGCTTGAAATGAGCTGGTTCCAGATGAAAATTATGTTGAGTCGCGGAATGTCAGGTGCCTTTTTAGCGGTGAGTAAAATGAGTAGCCTGGAAGAAAGCGTCGTTATTGTGGCAGGGACCCGAAGTTTTAGTTAAACAAAAACTATATATATTTTTATTTGCAACCACGATAGAAAGAGGGAACAGCCGGAACAAAACTGCCTATCGGACCTATCGGACGCCCAGCTGACACTGCAGCGTTAGCCAACACTACTCCCACATCGTCACATAAACATAGGGTCGGCGCTCGGAAGATTGTATATTTTTGGTTGTCAATAAAGTAATGGCTGGACTTCTGCACCTGACGAAACTGTGCAGCAAAAACCTCCCCTCCCCCAGTTGCCGCGCGACATGCTACGGACTTGTTAAAGGAGCCCGCCACGTGCCAGCGAGAGTGGTAAGTGTTCCGGGGCTCATCTGCGCCCGTGGCCGTGTCTCAAGGCCACTCGGCTAGATAAAGTCTCCCGACTAGATTACGATTTCGTAATTATGCGTGAATCGCAGTACTATTGTAGCGGAATATTCCATCAATTAGAATAGCAACAGGCAAAATGAAAGCAAAGAAAGAGGTCAGGCAACAGTATGCGTGTGTGTTGTTTTGGCCCTTTTAGAGATCGAGAGTGTAATTTCAATGAATTAATGTACTACGCACTTGCTTCTTTCGTTGCAGTAAGCACATACGCATAGAATACACACATAGTAGCACGGCCAAAACAGCACACACGCAGCCACAGACTGAAAGGAATAGCCATGGGTCGCACACAACGCCTTCGTCGACGCCAGGCCAGCGAATCGCCAACTGTTGACGCGCACAAACAGAACAGCCTGCAGGCTCTCTACGTCCAGCTGCATGCCCAGGGCTGGCAGAACTCTACGCAGCTATCAGCGCACTCCTATGTACAGACTGGGCGCGGACTGTGCTCAAAGCGTCGGTCGTTCGTGGCTGGGGATGAGCTGATCCGCCTGCCCGTTGAGTGTCTCATAAGCATAGCTACCCTGGAGGCAGACCAGGCGTTCAAAGGCCTCTTCAATAAGGATCTATTCGACAAGGACGCACGCATTTCGTTTCAGGCCCTGATCGCCTGCTACTTGATGCACCAGAAGCACTTGCACGATTGTTCACAAAGCTCTCATATTGGTGTTTACCTGGATACTCTGCCTAGAAGCTACACCACGCCTTATTTCTGCACCATACCCGAGCTGCAGTGTCTACCGGAGTCAGTGCTCGAGCGCACCGTGGCCCAGAACCGACAGATACGCGACTACTACGAAATTCTCAAGACCCTGGTGGGATCGCAGTATTGTGAGGGCTGCGGCCAGAGGTACTGCCAAGAAATATGGACTCTGTCGGAGTATCGAGTGGCCTACTTCGCCGTAAACACTCGTAGCGTCTACCTCAATGCCCGTCTGCTGAAACTGCAGTCAAGCAAGAGCCACTTCCAGCCTCTCCTGAGCGGGAATACAAAACTAGCACTGGCTCCGTTCCTGGACCTGTTCAACCATTCGGACGCTGTTCAAACAACTGCCGAGATCCAGGGACAGGACTATGTTGTGACACTGAATGGCCTGCCCATACCTGAGGTCAAGCCTTACGACCAGTTGTACATCAGCTATGGAGCGCTTACCAATTTCAAGCTGCTGACAGAGTACGGCTTTTGGCTGAAGGGGAATGCCCATGACTACTTTGAAGTGTCATTGCTGGACATTGAGCACATGATCAAGCTCAATAAAACGCTGGCCACGCAGACCTACCATCGCAACATCTTTAAGTTTATCAGGGAGCACAATTTGTGCGATCAGATGTTTGTTCACCTCGACGACGGATGCTCGCACAACCTCCGAGTGGTCCTTCATCTGATCTTCAAGCAGCAGGCCTACTTTCCCAATTTGCTCAATCAGATCGCTTTTGGCGATGTCGATCAGTTTGACAATGTGCAGCCAGAGCTGGCATATTTGGTGGTCCACAAGATCAGAGAGTATCAGATATTTGCGGGGGAGTTGGACAAGCTTCCGCAGCTAACAGAGAGCGGTGCAGTAGCCCGGTCCTATCTGATGGAGTGCGTCCGATATCTGAACGACTTTGAGGCGGCGCATTGCGCATCTGTATCTGATTTCCACAACGAAGAGTAGCCTATCTTAAGAATCGAATAAAGTACAAAGCTGTTTAATTGTAATTTTCTAACCGACTGTGTCTAATATTGCGTCCTTTTTCAGCTGTACTCGTCGCTGGCCAGTGCTGACGATAATGCCAAGCGGAAAAAGATCACACCCTTTACCCCCACGCCCGGTAGCAAGCTCCTGGGGGGCGTGTTTGGCAAGAAGGCCAAAGGTAGGTTCAACCGCGGATCTTCACCCACGTCTTTGCAGTAGATAACACTTGTAATACTGATAGTTGTGTATTATTTCGTTAGCTTTTTATCCTCTTCCTTTGACTAACCAAATTCCGTCTTGTTTTGTGAGTTCCTTTGTAACCAAGAGTCGGCCCAATGCTCGTTTCGTTTGTTTGTTCGCTTGTTGTGTTGAGCACCTGTTTGGATTTTGCTGCATTCAAGTAAATTCAACGCAGGTGCAGCCCAAGAAGGAGCTCCGACAACGCTGCAACGGCAACGGCAACGACAACGACAACGACAACGGCAACCGCAACCAGTTCAACTACAACAATCTCGACAATGTCACGTTCATATAGGGGGCAGCAGCGATGGCGGCTCTGGCCTGGGCAAGCTGGACGCACCGGAGGTTACCTCCAAGGATATGATGCGAGCGATGATGGCCTACATTTGGCCCAAGGAAGATCCCCTGGTGCGCAAACGGTGAGCTGTAAGGGAACTTGTATCGAGAATATAAATATTTATGTGTCTTCTATAAATACAGCGTGGGCATATCCCTGGGCCTGCTGGCTGGATCCAAGCTGCTGACTGTGTGCGTACCTTTTATGTTTAAAGGCGCTGTGGACACCATGACCACTTTAAACATGGACACTGCGCCAGATGCGGTGCTATCCACAGCCACTGCCTTGCTCTTGGGATGTAAGAAATCGAATCACTTAATTCCTTAAGATTGGTATTACTAATGGTGTATTTTGTAGATGGCATTGCCAGAGCCAGTGCCGCCGGCTTTAATGAGCTTCGCAATGCAGTGTTCGCGAAGGTGGCCCACCATTCCATTCGGAAGATAGCCAGCAACGTGTTCCTTCACCTGCACAACCTGGATCTGGCCTTCCATCTGAACAAGCAGACGGGTGCCCTGTCAAAGACCATCGATCGGGGCTCGCGCGGCATCAACTTTGTGCTCTCCGCCATGGTCTTCAACATTGTGCCGACGATCTTCGAGCTGGCTCTGGTGTCTAGCATTTTGGGGATCAAGTGCGGCCTGGCCTTTGCCGGAGTGAGCATGGGCTGTGTGGGCATCTATGCCCTCTACACACTGAGCGTGACCCAGTGGCGAACACGCTTCCGTGTCTACATGAATCAGGCGGAGAACGAGGCTGGCAACAAGGCGGTGGACTCGCTGATCAACTACGAAACGGTCAAGTACTTCAACAACGAAAAGTACGAGGCTGGCTGCTACAACGAGGTGCTGAAGAAGTACGAAGCGGCCAGCTTAAAGACGAGCTCCAGTCTGGCGCTCCTCAACTTTGGCCAGAACGCGATCTTCAGCAGCGCCCTCAGTTTGATCATGGTGCTGGCCGCCAAGGAGATCGTCCAGGGCAACATGACCGTGGGAGATCTGGTGATGGTCAATGCCCTGCTGTTTCAGCTGTCGATTCCTCTTGGCTTCCTGGGCAGTGTTTACCGGGAGGTGCGGCAGGCGCTACTCGACATGCAGTCCATGTTCACGCTGATGAACGTGGACAGTCGCATCCAGACGGCGCCCAATGCCCAGCCTTTGTTCATCGACAACAGCAACTCCTCGATTGAGTTCCGCAACGTGAACTTCGAGTACGAGCCCGGCAAGCCGATCTTTAGAGATCTCTCCTTCACCATACCCGCCGGCAAGAATGTGGCTTTTGTGGGTGGCTCTGGTTCCGGCAAGTCGTCGATGGTGCGCCTGCTGTTCCGTTTCTTTGAGCCCAATTCCGGCAAGGTTCTGATTGGCGGCCAGGACATTAGCTCTGTTGATTTGGAGAGCCTGCGAAAGACGATTGCCGTCGTTCCCCAGGACTCAGTGCTGTTCCACAACACCATCGAGCACAACATCCACTACGGCAACCTGACCAAGTCGCACGAGGAGGTGCAGAATGCGGCTCGCATGGCCGATCTCCACGACTCCATCATGAGCTGGCCGGCCAAGTACAACACCCAGGTGGGGGAGCGGGGACTGAAGTTGTCCGGCGGCGAGAAGCAGCGCGTGGCCATTGCTCGCGCCATCCTCAAAAACACGCCCATTCTGATCTTCGATGAGGCCACCAGCAGTCTGGACTCCATTACGGAGCATGTGAGTACATTGACTCTGGTCGATTCCTGCTTGCACCAGCTAATCTTTGCCATCCGCTTGCCCCGCAGAATATCCTTCAGGCCTTGAGCCGCGCTACCTCCGGTCGCACCAGCATTTGCATTGCCCACCGCCTGTCGACAGTGAAAGATGCCGATGAGATCCTAGTCCTCGAGAACGGCGGCGTGGGCGAGCGTGGCACCCACTCCCAGTTGCTGAAGCAGAACGGTCTCTATGCCCGCCTGTGGGAGACGCAGACGCAGCAGTTCGACCCCAGTCGGGACACCGAAGACGAGTCCGTGCCCAAGAAGGCACGGGGCGTGGCGTAGTGCAGATAAAGCCACAACGATGCTTGGACAATATGTGTGTGCGTGTGTTTGTGCGTCTCAACTCCTTGATTCGGCCCTTCCTAACCCTCTAAATTCATCGTTTATTCTGCATCTCTGGCTGAGATGGTTCGTTATTGTTAGGCTGAAAGTAATATTGTGACATTTGTAAATACAGTTGTAGTTAAGAGAAGGCAGGCGTCTGTGCATCTGTGCATCTGTGGTATAATATGGAACATTTATTATCAGTTTTATCACCCATACAATTAGTCACACTTAGGGCTACGAGTAGGCAAGGATCGCTTACGCAGGGCGCAGAGCACTGGGGCTGCTTCAATCTTAATCTCTCTCCCGCACGGCCAGCGGAATGGGCACATCGTACAGCAGGTAGAGCACACAGTTCCCAATGTGTCCGAGGAACTGCTTGTAGTTGGTCACGCGCTGCTCGAACTCCTTCCACAGCGGCAGCAGGGGACGCTTCGGCTCTGCAGCAGTCTCCTCGATTGAGATATCCTGCTCCAACATGGTTTTGTTGGTGTACGTGAATAAATAGGAGGCGGGCTTCTGCCCAATTGTGGTCACGAAGTGGGTGATGTTGCTCCCCAGGCCTATGCTCTTGCCGGCGGTAAGGAAATACGACTCCTGCTCAATGTCGCTCTTGTAGCGCACATTTCCCTCGAGGATGGTCAGGGTGCAGTTGATTAGATCGGGCGAAATGAAGTTGATCAGCGTCAGGCCCGGAAAGTCGGCCACAAATATAACGTCGGAGTAGTTATTCCAGGCCAGGACCTCGTTCTCGATCGTCCGCAGCTTGGGACGCATGTGGGTTAGCTCATTAAGCAGCGGCAGGGACCACGACGTGCTCTCAAAGGGCGACCACGGCGCCTTCAGCAAGTCCACGCGTGGATCGAAGGAGCGCTGCTGGAACCGGCCGTTCATGGAGCACCAGATGTCAAAGTAAATGGAAATGTTTCTGCCAATCGACGGTCGGCCCCTGACCTGCTGGTTCTGTATGTTCTCCTCGATGCACTTGGCATACTGCACCGCCATGTCCGCGTACTTCGTCCAGCGCTCGTACTCGGTGAAGGCAAACGGATTGAGATTGTGCACCTGCTGGTTGTCGTTGTCCACGACCTGGATGGAGGTCTGCAAGGTGTCGAACGAGTGCACCATCATGTCCCAGGAGTACCCGTACAGACCATTGGTCCAGTTGTTGTATCCCTTGGTGATGAAGTGCGAGTACGGGAGGAAGAGCTGGAGTCCACAGTAGCCGAGTATAAGGCATGTCCGCAGCCTGGCCAGAAGGGATGGCCTGGCTGGGGATGCCTCTTCGGATGGGTCAATCTTTGCCGTGCCGCGTATCCTCCTTGGCCAGTCGAAGCCAAAAAACAGAGGAACCTCGGCCAGGCATACCCAGGGAAACATGCCTGCAATGGAAGCAATAATTTCACGGTCCAAAACATAGTCATTCTTATGCACTTACCTATGACGAACAGGCGGGAGTTCATCAGGTGGAAGCTGATCATGAATGGAGTGACCAGCAGCCGCGTCTTCTCGACGGTCATGAAGAAGGCAATGGAGACATCAAAGAAGGCCGTAAACCAGTGCACAATCAGCAGATCGATCAGCTCCGGATCCAGCATCTGGCGGAAGGGAGAAAACACCCAGTGCTGGCTGAGATTGCTCATGGCATAGCCGGAGAGCCACTCCGCGGAGATCTTCTTCAGGCCGGCGTACATGTACAGAACGAAGAACTGAAACTTGATCAGAAAGTAGTTCCAGTAGGGAACGGTCCGACTCCGACTCCTCGCAGGGTTCAGCCAACTCTCCAGCGAACTGTAAGTTTCAATTCAAGTTAGACTGTAGATCGAAGGAAGGTGTATGCTCTAATCAGACCAGTAGCTATCAGCCTGGGTAAACAGCAGCAGCGTGCCCACCAGCCCGAACAGGTAGCTGTGGTTGTTCCAGGTCGGCTTGTCCAGCAGAAAGATGTACCAGTAGGGGACTATGAAGGTCAGGCAGCTGGAACGAAACCGATAGCCCAGCATTATGCCCCACGCCCCCAGCCACATGCACAGGTAGACGCATCCCATCAGCGGGTAGGCCAGGGCCCGCATCCCGTTGAACAGCGGGAAGTGGCAGTGGTGGGGCTCGCCAAAGCGCACATCCAGCTGGCCACCGCCCCGCTCCTCGGCTATGTCCACCAGCATGGCGACCCCAAAAAGCAGCCGGAAGATGCCCAGGGCGGCCCCATCCACAGGTCGCTGCAGCCACGCTGTGAACTTGGTTAGACTGCTGAAGTTGCTCGGCTCATGACCGAGGCACTCTCTGAAGAGGTTGCCCATGCCCGTAGACTGTGCTGTAACCTGATGAGCATCGTCTGTGGTGGGGATCTCACCGGAGAGAGGCTTGTTCTGTGCTGTGGGGGCGATATCCGGGGAACTGGACGATTTCGTGGGTTGCTTTCGCTTGGAGTTGGCCATGGCCTGTCCTGAAAACATGGGCGTGTGTTATTAGGTGGAGGA